GGCACTCCTCATATTTATTGAGCAAACGAACCCAAACATCCAGATAATTTTGAGTAGGGGGTTCAACACATGATCAACACACAATCATTATCTGACTTTGAGTCCAGCCCTAGGGTGATGCTTCTCAAGGACACCGAAACCACGTGAGGGCAGTCACGAGTTGTAGGAACTGTTTTGTCTTTACTCATTTTGTTATTGATCATGCATCAGGAGTTGTAGGAGAAAGAATCAGGTCATATGCATTTATACATTTGATTTCTATATTACTGGATTTATGTATTAATCCCATCAATCCCACAGCCAGGCATCATGCTAAATGCCATGCACACATTATTATAGTATCCCTGTGAAGTTGGAATTAATGTATCAATTTTGGAGATGAAGAAACGGAGGCAACCTAATTATCAGCATAACTTATTAATTTGTACTTCAGCTATTTATCAGTGCACAAATAATGTTCATAATTTAAGGCACTTAAATCTTGATTGTTTAAAACTAAAAAAATTTCATCAAAAAAAAAATAGGTGGGAGTAGTAGTTCAGGTTTCCCAGCTGGCCTTCACTAACACCTGAGATAGGGAGAGTCACTTTGTTACTGCCGAGTGTGATGAGATTATGGCTCCCTATTATACCTCTACTTTTATCATCCTGACTGAGAGAACAGTGCCTCCTTCCTGCTCCCCATATGACCTCCACTAACTTAGTTCTTTGAATCAGAAATTTGAGTTATTCCATGGATTTAAATGAAAGTGGAAAATATTATTTCTTTTGCTTTAGGATAATGAGAATAGGCTTCTGAGAATTTTATTTGTCGAAATCATCATGTTACTCCCAATGGGACTTATTTTTTAAATTTGACTTATGTCTGATAGTTTTCAAAATAATTACAGACAACAAAATGTAGTGAGTTTTTTACTCTCTGATTAGTTGATGAATAGCCCATTAAGATCATGGAAATTCTACTAAGTTTTTACTCATCTGTTTAATTTTGTCTCTTTTATGAAAGTTCTAGCTAGGCAGAGGTTGTCCAAAATTATCTGGTTGTTTTACTTTAGGAAATTTAAATTCTTCACTTTTTCTTTTATCTGATTTGAGTTTTTCCACTAAAACTCCCAAATATCAGTCTTTGATTTAAGATGCTAAGGGAATCTTAAGTCAACAAAACCATGTGAGGGCAGTCACGAGTTGTAGGAACTGTTTTGTCTTTACTCATTTTGTTATTGATCATGCATCAGGAGTTGTAGGAACTGTTTTGTCTTCACTCATTTTGTTTTGGAAGCTCACTGTTCCTTTTCCTGGCTATTGTAGTTCTTATTGTAATCATTATTATAATCATTAATTGTTTTGGAGGGATACATAGCCACAAGGCTTTATTCCTACTACTAAATAATATAGGTACTTATCCTATATTATTGAAGGGTAAGTATGCAGCAGTTGTTCATCTACAAAGTGATGTTTCTTAAAATGTAGGGCATAGATTATCTATATCAGACTCACCTAGAGAAGTGCTCCTAAACTTTAATGTGTATGTTAGTAACTTCAAGGTTCTTCATAAAATGCAGTTTCTGATTCTGGGGTAGGGCCTGAGATTCTGAATTTCTATTAGGCTTCCAGGTGACACCTATGCTGCTGGTCTACTTCATTTTGAAAGCAAGAATACTTGTGAAAATATCAGTCATGTATCCATCCAGGTCCATGCAGTCACAGTTTTTGTAACTGGAATGTGGGAATATGTATTTTAAAGACATGTTTATTTATACCAAATATTAAAAATCGTTGCTATAATTTGGTGGATCTTAACTGTTTCTGCATCAAAACCATCCAGAAATAATTTTAAAACAGTATTGCTAGGTATTACTTCAGAACTACTGAGTCATCATCTCTGGCATTTGTATTTTTAATATGCAGTATCATATACACCTGATTCTGAATGTAACCTGGTTGTGAAGCATAATCACAAATATTGTAGAAAGGAATGAAGACAGAGTCATTATGCCTGGTAATAGAGGTTTCACCTGGAATCCAGATTTTAAGAATAGGTTAAAGTTGAACTATGTTAGAGCTTAGGAGACAAAAAGTTTCAAGTTGAAATCTCCCACTCTATTTCATACAGCATAATTTCTGTAATTTTAAACTATTTACTTCTTAAAAACATACTTTTAGCTTGTGTATTGATAGTATTTCTCAAACTAAGATCTGTGGATGTAGTCTTCAGGTTGTGAATTTTCTACAGTAATTTCTGATTGTAATATTTTTATTTTTATAATCAGACAAATTGAAAGATTCTCAATGATTTGAGTAAGTCATTTTGTGCAAAAATACTGCCACACAGGTCCAATTTGTGAATTAAATTTGCATTTTTGGTTGTTTTGGCACCATGTAGTATAATTTTAATTTGGGTTGATAAAATAATAGAAGTGGACTATGCATGTATATTTCGTATTCATGACAAATGACTATGAAATTATGTGATGATGTACTATGGAACAGACTTCAAAGCTGTTCACATAGAGGCAAGTGGTGAAAAAGAAGCACAGAATAAGTAGAGACAAACCATATTCAAAAGAATTTGTTAGAACCATATCCATATTGTGAGGTTATTTTATTTCAGTAAAAAAAGTCACATAAATTAATTCCATTAATTTGAATTCTAGTTGTAGCTTTATTTATATCTAATTTGTATTTAAAAATTTTTTTAATTAAAGTATAGTTGATACAGTGTATTATATTGGTTTTAAGTATATACAGTGATTTGACAGTTATCTACATTGTTAACTGCTCACCCCAACTAGTGTAGTTACTATCTGTCAACATAGAAAGATGTTTCAGAATTATTGACTATAATCTCAATGCTATACTTTCATCCCCAATCTATATTATGATTGAGATTTTGTGCTTCTTTATTCCCTCCATTTATTTTACCCACCCACTCCAACCCCTCCTCCATGGTAAGTAACCACCAGTCACTTCTCAGTGTCTGTGAGTCTACTGCTGTTTTGGTTTGCTTTGTTTTTAGATTCCACATATAAAAGAGACTATACGGTATTTGTCTTTGCGGGGTTATTTCACTTGCAAAATAACCACTAGTTCCATCCATGTTGTCACAAGTGGCAACGTTTCCTCTTTAACTTTCCTTGATTTCCCTCCCTTACTGGAGTTAATACCTCCCTCTTTTGAACTCTGTATAGCAAGCAATGAACAAATCTTTTCTTTTTTCGTCTACTTTTCTTATCTCTTTTATTAGATGGTATGCTTTTTGAAGGGAAAAGAGTAAGAGTGTTATAAACAGGGGCAGTGCATTTCTAAAGAATTATTCAGTGAAGTTTGAATAAATTAATGAATGGATGGAAGACTAACAAAGTCTTAGCCGGTTTCCTATAGAAGAATGATCATGAATATTCTTAGGGTATAGAAACAAAATTATTTTTCCAAGGTTCAAAATTATGGAAAATCTTTCATCTTGCAGGTGATGGTGGTAGAAATAAATTGCAAATGAAAGTGTAACTATTAAATGAAATAAGTTCTATAAGAGTATTGATTAGTCCCTTATTATTATACACAGCACAAGTGTAATCATGCCCCTCCTTATGTAATATTGAAGTTTGTTCTTTTTCTACCCAAACTCCCATGTGTGTGTCTACTTATATGGAACTAGTGTTTTTTTTACTCTCCCTGTAATTCAGGACAGGTGATCTCAAGTCTCTAAAATGAATTTCCTCTTTCTACTTAAATTGACTTTAAAATTGATTCTTCATTGCCTAGAAACATGACCATCGAATTATTTCCTATGGAACATTATTTAATATATCTTGTCCATAGCAAATCCATACTTTGAGTTTTAATCAGAACTGGCCAATATTATGTGTTACACTTTAATTAGATTGTCAATTAACTGGTAAGTGCATATGTAATAGCAGGGTTTCTTAATTATTTGGATGTACTGTGTAAGGTGCTTTCAGCAGAGTACTTTTAACAGATGAAGTTTATTCATATTGTTCAATAAATCACACTATTGAATAAATAGATATATACATTTAACAGACTGGATGCTCATTCTTATATAAAGAGGTACAAGATGGAATTTTGTTGGGAATTTACCATTCATATTCCTTCTTTTTCCCCCATAATAATCTATCTGCCTGGCATCAGAATTCTGTCCTGCTCTTCTAAAAATTTAGCAGCTCCTTTTCTAAATAAATTCTAGGAAATAGTTCTTGTAAGGGATGACTGTGAATTTATTACTGTTGTCTTTTTAAGAGTGATTAAAGAACATTGAAAGACCAAACTAGAAAGAGTGATATGTTGTGATAGAAGACTCTGGTAAATTCCCAGATTTCCTGTACAAAACTCATGGTTGCTCTGGGTATAGAACAAGTCCTCAGAGTTGGTTAGAAAGCCCATTATAAAATTAAAGGCAGAACAAAAAATTGAGGTAGTGCAGTGGACCTCTGACCTTTTGTTTTTTTTTACTGCTTAGACGCCAAATATCTGAATAAAAAGTAAATAAATTATTATCTAATATAGACATAGATGCAAACTCTGAAATTTATGTTTCATATGTACCTAATTTCTATTTGAAGTAAATATTACAAAGAAAGGCAAACAATATAGAAAGATGGTAATTTTGCAACCAAACAGGAATGGATTTGAATCCCAGTTTTGCTACTTATTAATGCTCAGTCTTAGACAAGTAAAAAATAAAAATTCTGGCCTCAATTTCCTCTTTTTAAAACAGAGATATATATATCTGTCTTGTAGTGCTGTTTAGAGAATTAGAAATAAATATTAATGCCCATGTTCAACACTTATTTAACAGTGGTTATTATTTTCATAATATACTATTGTTGTTTTTCCTATAACCTTTACTAATAACTAAACACTACCTGAGTATATAGTAAATTTTATTGTTTTATAGCTATCACTACATAATAAGTATAAGGAAAATAGAATGCTGACTAGACACAAAATTAGATATTTTAATTGTAATTTTCTTTCTTTCAGAATTACTTACTGTCATCTACCTTTCCAGAGTAAATGGCTCTATGTTGGAACAGAAAGAGGAAATACACATATTGTAAATATTGAATCTTTCATTCTTTCTGGATATGTTATCATGTGGAACAAGGCAATTGAACTGTAAGTGTGACCTTGAATATCATTTTATTTGGCTTAAGTATTTCAATTGGTTTATAAAATATATCAAGCTGAAGAATTATCAGAAGCATATATAGCTATTTATGATTAACTTGAGTGAAAAGTTCAACTGAAATAATTTAAAACCATGAAGGCTTTTTAAAAACAGACATTATAGGTTTAACATATTCTGATTTTAGCCTTTCCAAATACTCTAAATAATTAAAGGTTATGTATGTAAAATTTAATGGTAAATTGTAAGGCTCATTCAAAAAGTTCTGCATGAAGTTCTCATTTCTTTATAGCCAACTGTAGCGTAGCCACTTCTAGTAGGAAGAGCAAGTGGATTATGACCATATTTAGTTTTATGTAAAAATAATCATGGTCAGTTCACATACTTTTTAATACTGGTAGCTTTTTCATTTGCCTCATTACCATATTATTCTGGGTTCCAAGGAGAATCAATTTATCAATATCTTTCATGTTGTGATGTATGTAACTATTTGGGTATGTGGTTGGTGGCTATTACCACTTCGACTTTGGCACTGATATATAAGTTTCTGCATATGTAAAATGTGAAATTCCCCAAATGTGAAACTTCATGGAATTTCAAACCATCTTTTTGTATCACATACAAAAACAATTATCCTGGTCAATGTGTTAACCAAAACAACAATTTTTCTGTACTAAGTATTTATGCTGTGTACCTATTAGGTCTTTAATAAGAAGATATATTTGACTGAAGGCTGGCTCATTTTTTCTCTCATATACATATTCCAAGTTACATAATTTTCTTCTCTAAAACTCTGAGTAAAACAGCTTATTTTCATGAAGCTTGACTCAGGTCTTATAATAAACTTACTCTTCCCTATTACCAGCATTTCAATGTCCATGTATATTGCTTGATAGGAAAGGCTGTTGCTAGTTATATTCTTGTTACAATAGTCCTTTTGTATTATGTCTCAATGGGTCTTTTATTAATCATAATTCTTCTCCCTCATTAGGCTAAGAACTGCTCCAGGACAGAATCTTTGTTCAGTGCTCTTTTCCTTTTCTTTATAGTTGGCGTCTTTTGGTGCTTTCCACAAAGTGGCTACTAAATGACTAACGACATTATTGAAGAATTAGTATGATAAATAGTTTCACACTCATACTGACTTAGAGCTTTATTTATAAATATTGGTATAATCATTTCTATTATTGGTATATATTTTAACATTCTATCTGTGTATTTTTAGAAACATTTATCCTTTGGACAACCTATGCTCTCCAAAAAAGTTATTTACTGTTTTAGCTAAAACAGTAAATAAAAGATTTTCCCCTTTATATAATCTGGGCTGAACTTAATGCTTCTTTTCAGAATATTGTTCTAGGATATTTATTAAAAACACAAGTAAACTTGAGAGATGGAATTATAGAGCTTTTGTACAAATTTATTAGTAGTATAAATAGTAATAGATACATCATTTCTGTTCAGTTGAATGCTGCTAGAGTAATTAAGAAGAGTTTATTGTCTAAACAAATAAAATATTTCACCACTCTTGTACTGTTCTTTCCATATTCATTTACTTAACAAATCCTTTTCATAGTTCAAATTAATAAATAATACCTGAACTAGTATGACCTATGTGTATTTATATAGTCTATGATTTCAGACTAAAGAAGAGTTAAAAATTATAAAGTAGGTTAAACTTAGAAGAAATGAAAGAAAATAAGGAACTTGTATTTTTCATAGTATGGTCTTACACATGTGATTCCACATCAGAATAGAATCTATGATTTATACAAATCTGATCTTTTATAGAGTTGTACATGCCTCTGAAAATGTCCTTGAAATATCCTTAAGGAATTATTAGTATACAACATCACCTTCTGTTTCTTGGTTTACTTAGACTAGATTTCCAGAAGTGTTTTCCATGGTAGATATCATTTTAAATGCCAACTTCCACTGTCCAAAAGCTGTCTTTTAATTGCCCTGTGCTTTTTGAGATACATTACAAAATGCAGGTTACTTCCTGTTAATGTGTCAAGTGTATGCAACAATAAGATATTCATTTAATTAAAAATAGTCATTTCATTAATAGATTTTTAGATACAAATTTTAACAATACATTTTCTAAGTATGACAAATGAAGAATTGTTTTTAAGAGATATGTGAGATTATTTCTATTTTAAGTCCTTACTTGAAATACTTTTCATTCAATGTTTGTGATATTTCAGCTTCACTTTTTAGTTGTCTCCCATTTGTAATTATAGACAATTTCCATAATTATTAATCATTTGTGTTCCCAGGTGTATATATTAATTGAACACATTTTCCATAGAAACAGTGATGTTTGTAGAACACCTCATAAAATAGTCAGAATAGAACTAAACTGACATTTAAAAATTTTTTATGGGAAAATATATTCCAAGTTAGAGCACAGAAATAGCTGTTTCTACAGTGCAACCTTAGCTTTTAAAAAAATGTAACCTGTTTTTTCTACATCTGCTTATAATTTGAACATGAAATTCAGAATTAAATCATAAGTGTAAGGCATGTATTTAACAATCATCCACATCTTAATTGAGTATTATGATGTGCTAGATACTGGACACACCTGTGAACTGAGAAGACATAGCTGCTGTCCTCTCTGGGCTTTCAGTCTAAGAAAATAAGATTAACTAAAAAGGTAATTATGTAATATACTAGAAAGAAAATGTGACAATTCCGTAAGACGGACGCCTAATATAGACATGGTGTCTCAGAGAGTATCTGTGAAAGAATTTACATCTATACTGAGATCTGAAGGATGAGTTTCAGTTAGACGAGTAAGGAATTGGGGATGGTGTGAAGGTGGTCCAGGAGGAGGGAAAAGAAGGTTTAAAGGATGCAGTGTGAGAGTTTCTGTTCCATGCACAGAAATGTTAAAGAGTTTAGTTGGTTGGAATAGCTGGGGAAGAGGATGGCAAGAGATAAAGCTGAGGAAATAATCAGTGTATATAATACGAAAAGCCTTTTAAGCCAATTTGAGAAGTTTGGACTTTTTCTAAGGCCAGGAACTAGGTTAAACCTAAGAGACAGGGATTTGTGGTTTGTTGGATATTATTAATCCACAAAGGATAACTGAAGGACATTGTCCCATATCAGAGGCATTTATACTATTAAAAAAGCATTGCATTTATGTGTAAGTAATATATTACACATAAAAATGGAAGAACTGCAAAAGGCTCTGTAAACTTTTCATGACGCCCTGTTTAGTTTCTTTACTTTCTGCATATCATTCCAGAATGCAAATAGTAACTCTGATTTCCAGTTATTCCAATGGTTTACAACAATCACAATATGTACTTTAAGTACTTACTATATTTTGGCATTATATTAGGTGCTATGTGTATATTCTAATGCTCACAATTACTCAGTAGGGTCAGTACTACTATCTTCAAATTTTAGATGAGAAAATTTAGGATAAAAACACTAACAAAATATGTGATAAATATATATTTATTCCTCTGAGTCACACTAGGGAGTCTGTATCTGGGAAACCTGGAGTTAGTTCATCATTTTTTCTCTGATTCCAAAGAGTTTTTAAAATTTAAATAATCTTTATTGTTTTGTGCAGAATCTTTGATGGTTTTCATGAGTGTTTACAAAATAAATTATAGCTATGTCAATATCATAATAGGATTAATCTGGCACAATTAGATCATTGAAGAAAGGCTGTGAAAAAATGAGTAACAATAAATCTATGGTCATTTCAGGTTATATCATATTTGTGATAAAGTCATATTCAATAATATATGTTTAAGTAGGCAATGTAAAAGACACATGCCAGATATCAGAGTAGAATAAACAAAGTTAGATTGGCAGAGCACAGGTCCCTTTAACAATATGCTCTTAGACTCATAATTATCTGTTAATTGATTACTCTAGACAACCAGATAAATGAGACATCACAAGCAAACTAGGTTACTCCAGTTTGTCAGTTTTCTGTAAGCTGGCTATTATCTGTAAATCAAAGGAGCCATTGTACACTTCTTTAGGAGCAAAATCAGAGATTTCATGTCAAAGAAAATTTTAAATCAGTTGTATACTTTGCAATTTGGTTGAAACAGGTTTACAGTGTCAGCCTTTTGGATGTATGAGTTTTCTTTTGTCTATGTAAGTAAAAGTTTATGTTCAAATTTTCAGAAACAAAGATATGGCAGCAAAAATATAAGATAATTAAGGATCCCACTGTTATGTGGATCTGTATTCTTAAATCTGATTTAAAACAAAAAGCATACCTACTTTAATAGCGTTAGTAAGAAAGAAAAGTAATCTTTAAAAAAACCCAAAACTCAAATGAATCAAAGGTAGACCCCAGAATATTGGGAGTGTATTCAGTATAATCTTAATTTCTTTGTTTCAGTTTTAATGGTAAGGTATTTTAATATTTATTTTTTAATTATTGTTTCGAATTGATTTAACAGATCCACAAAGACTCATCCAGGTCCAGTTGTACACTTAAGTGATAGCCCAAGAGATGAAGGGAAAGTGAGTATTACAATACCATTATTCTTGCATTTATTTTCCTCATTCTTGAATGAAAGGGTTTCTTACTATTATTTTAAAGCTAACATCTATCACAATTCATAGCATTAAATGTAATCTAAAATTAAAATACGTTGAATGAATGAATGAGCAAATAAATGAATGAATTATTCATACTAATAATGATCCCAAATTAAATCTTTAGTTACACCTAGAGCTAAAGTTGATATTTAATTCTAGAATTTTGAGGAAGGCATGTAACTTGTGAAACAACTTTAATTTAAAAATATTCTATACTTGAACTTAACAATACACTTATCAATAGCATTAACATTGGTCTCTGCTATTCAGTTTTGGTAATGATAAATGACATATTAAATAATTGTAAGTTGGTCAATCTTGATTTTATAAATAGATAATAATAGAGAAAATATTCTCAGATTACAGAAATAATCCTTATTCATCTTGATTATTATAATTTTCCTTTGATGATGAGCAAACAAGGCTGATAAATGAAAAGGTCTAAAGCATCACTTTTATTATAAATATTGTCTCTTCAAGTATACAGTTTTTGCCAAGTACCTTAGAAAACACTTGAAAAAATTATTTAGTACACATTTGATTATTTATTTATTTTTAAATGATTGAAACTGAATTAGTCTAATAAATATTGAACTTGAAAGACAAGTCTATCTGATGGTAGTAGAAAGATCATTGTACTTCTTCAAATTGATCCATAAACACTGTAATAGCAATGTGGTATCATCAGAATTTACTTATTTTTAAAGACTTTATAAACTGATTCTAAAATTCATAAGAAAAAGAAAATAATTAAAACATTTTTTAGAAAGAAATACATTGTGTTATTGTTACAGGGGGATACTGAAGACCAGTAGCTCTAAATGGATGTTACAGAATTGGTTCATGCATTTGGGGGAATTTTGTATATTTTAAAAAGATGTTTTAGGACATGAAAAACTATTGGAAAAATGGTGTTGGATGACAACATCCATTTTGAAAAAATAGTAAGACCTCTATTTCATACCATTCACAGAAATGAATTCCATATGGAGAAAATACATAAATGTTAAAAATCACAACTCAGAAGCAGCTGCAAGAAACAGGTTGTTACTGTGGAGTAGGAACATCCTTAGGAAAAACATAAAAACTGAAAACTTTAAGGAATATAGTGTAACAAGACAATCATGGTAAGAGGCAACAAAGTGGGAGACAATATTTGCTATGTACATAGCAGGCAAATCATGAACTGGTACTAAATCCCCATCTTTCATAATATGAAATCAATAGATAATATCTAATCAATAAATGGCAATATAAACATAGTTAGATATATGAAAGTAAGTCTACTAGAAAAGATGTTTGTAAGAGTTGAAGGTGTGGTTGCCTCTTAATCTAGAGAGCAGGGTCTGGCAGTGAGGAGGAAACAGCTTCACCAGTAATCACTAGGGAAGTACACTATACCATTTTTTCCCAATCAAATTGGCAAAATAATAAAAATTAAATAATAATAAATTATTATTTTATTAAATATTAAAATATTAAATCATTAAATAATGTTAAATAAATAAATTAAATAATAATTATTATTAAATAATAATAAAAATTTAAATAATAACTTCACAAAATATTTTAATATCTGGTATGTCCTCCCCTCTTCCCCCAATCTAGCTTTTTTTGACCATTGATTTTACTACATAAATTTTAGGATCAGCTTATCAAGCTCTATATAAACCTTTTTTAGGATTTTGTTTGTAATTTGGACATATTGATTACAGAGAATTTACATCATTAAGATATGGGTTTTCCCATATGAAAACATGATATATTTGCTTTGGCTCTCTTCTATGTTTTTCTATATAGCTTTATAACTTTTTCCATAAAATTCTTATGTATCTTTTGTTAGCTTAATTCTGTATATCTTGTAGATTTTATTTTTCTTGTGAATTAACTTTCTTAAAAGTATCTCATAGTGGATTGTTAGTGTATTAAATATTGGTTTTTATTATTTTGTATTCATTGTTTCACTGAATGTTTTGTTTTTAATTGCTCTCCTTAGGTTATCTATATATATTCTATGTATAAAGCATAGTAACTCTAGAAAAATTTTGTTTCCTCCCTTTTAATATTTATAGCTTTTACATGTACATTTGTTTTGTGGGATAGGAACCCAGTGCGGTGTTGAATACAAATGGCTTTAATGGGAACTTTCTTTTATTTCCCAACTGCAAAGGAAATGCCTCCAAGATCCATGTTAAATATTTGCTATAGGTGTTGGTTGATTGCATTTCTGAAGTTAAAAAGTTTCCATCTATTTCCAGTATTCCTAGTGTTTTAAATCATGAATGGTGTTGAATTTTATTGAATGCTTTTCTATATGAATCGAGATGTGTTTTTCCCCATCTCAGACTGTTGACAGAGATGCTGTCATCTAGAAATGCCTAGGGGCACTTAGCTTGGCCTGAGATGAGCCCCCACAGACATTTCCCCTTTTGGATCATTGTTGTAGGTGTATGGCCCTTGGGGTTCTTATGATTGCAGGATGTACCTCAGCAACAACCATTAGAGAGCTTTGAAAGACAAGATTTATCAGTCACAACTCCTAGAGGGTACATGGCATACCCAGGGCCACACAGTAAGGGCATGGGTAAAGAGAGAATGAGAGAGAGAATTGACCTGGGGTTTTGCTTTTATTGGATTTGAGGGTGGAGTGCCTGAGGTTTCTCAGGTTTACTCTTTATTGGTGAATTTAAAACATAAGAGTGTTAATTAAAGTGTGGAAAGGAAAAAGCAGGAGATCAATTACCTAAGTTAACCAGAGTTTTCTAAAACAAAAGGAACTTCATGGGTGGGTGTGGGGAGAATGAAAGAATGGAAGTTCTTATAGTCAGGATCTTCATCTGACCCTAAACGGCTTGATGATGTATGCTCCCACACTCGTCAGCAATGAGCTGTTATTGACTGAGTCACTATATAAAGAGCTCTGCCCAGTGCTCTGGGCAGAGGCAGAGATGGAGGTGGATTACGGACCTGCAGACTTCTGGATACAGACATGATTCTAGTGTTTGCAATCTCATGGTTGCAATAATAAAGGAAAGTGAAGTAAAGCAAAGAAGTAAAATTCATTATCACACAAACCTCTATTCCATGTGGAGAAGCAGAAGAGACAATCACTTAGCAGGTGTATGTGCTTGGCCTTGCAGGATGTTGCTATTTATTTGGAAAAACCATGATTCAGAGTAGTCCAACCATGAGGAGAAAGGGAGGGAGAATTTATTTCTTGTGTGCCATACTATAAGGCATGAGATTTGGCTTCCTTAACTGCTGCTAATGGGGTCAAATGACACAACTCAGAAGTGAGGGAGTGTTAACTTCTCATGGGGAAATGGTCCTATGGTCATAAGAATAAAGCTGGGTATTTACCCCAAGAACATTCTGTTGTCATTTCTTGATCTCACCAAGTCCATAGTGTACTTGCCCAGGGCTGAAACCCTCAGGCAAGACAGTGGGGCAGGCTGATAATGTATTTATTTGAAATGGATATCATAGCTGACAATGTATTTATTTGAGGTGGATGTCTTTGAAAAAGATGTCCCAGCTATCAAAAACTTAGTGTCAGGTACTGACTTTATAACCAAAAAAGCTAATTGTCAGGTACTTGCATTGCAAGATGATTATTCCTTAATTTGTTAATTTTTTGAAATATGTTAGTAGCTTTTCTAATTAAAAAAATTTTTGCATTTCTGGCATAAATACAACTTGGAAGGGAAAGCTTCTATGGAGGCTTGCTGGTGAAGTGAAAAAAATGAACAAATTACTGTTACATTTCCTGCTGGAACAAGATAGTATCATGAAATTGGAAAATAGACCACTCTCTCCCTAAGATACCATTTACTAAAGGAACTGCACATAAGTCTTTCATATAGAAGAAGGTGATCTTGAACTGAGAGATGCCTATATTGGTCATAGAATTGTCTGCATCTCCTCAGATTTCCTCAGCCTTGCTTGTCTTCCAGACTCTTGACTGCTTGCTTCACCTCAGTTTTGGCATGGTCAGTCACCCTTCATGCAGTACTACTACTTTAGGTTTACTGGCTATGCTGAGTCTCCGGATTGTTCCTTTAATTCTGGCTTCAGATAATGTACCATACTATGAGGCATGAAATTTGGCTCCCTTAACTGCTGCTAATGGGGTCAAATGACACAACTCTGAAGTGAGGGAGTGTTAAGTTCTCATGGGGAAAACCTTGGCCAACATTAGACAAGACACAAGAAATAAATTCTCCCTCCCTTTCTCCTCATGGTTGGACTACTCTGAATCATGGTTTTTCCAAATAGTTAGCAACATCCTGCAAGGCCAAGCACATACACCTGCTAAGTGATTGTCTCTTCTGCTTCTCCACATGGAATAGAGGTTTGTGTGATAATGAATTTTACTTCTTTGCTTTACTTCACTTTCCTTTATTATTGCAACCATGAGATTGAACTTCTCAATGAAACATTACCACTTAAGTCTTGCTGTTTTCTACAAAACTAATACAATAGTTACCAGAATTCGTCTATATCAGGGATTGGAAACTACAGCCCATGAGACAAATCTGGCATACTGCCTGTTTTTGTAAAATGAGCCATGAAACATGCTTATCCATTAATGTTTGTGGATAAAGTAAAAGTTTCTACTGTCAGGATTCTCACCTGGCCCTTGTCAGCTAGCTCACTACACATGTGTGGGCAATATGTTGTTACTGACTCTATATAAAGAGCTCCGCCCAGTGCTCTGGGTGACATGATGGCAAGGCTACAAGGCTGCAGGAGAGCAGAGACTGGAGTGATGGCAGCACCAAGGACAGAGACTGAGACAGCTGCGTGGGTAGAGACCCAGAGGCAGAGCCCGGCTTGCTGCATGCAGACTTGCTCTGAGTGGATGGGATTCTAGTGATTGACCTGCCACCGTTGGATATAACCCTTTCACCCCAAGAGCATCC